TCTATCCTCAGAAACTGTCAATCACGTCTCATAAACCGTTAATGCCCAGCTCTCGCTACGCTCGGGACCACGCTATTCTTCGAAGATTTCGGAAACGCTTAGTTATAACGGACGCAAAAACCAAAACACCGATTGGCCGTTTGATATTTCTGTATTGTTACACCAACATATAAAAGGAATAAGCGAACTAAGAAACTAAGGTCTGAAAACAAATATTACAATAATAAATCTCTGTATTACTTCTGACGATGTTTCACTCTTCTTTCTGAACAGCGACCGATGAGACGATGACTGTCGTATTGATGCCTCCGCGAAAATTGGGGAAGTTGATTTTGAGCAAACAACCATGAATTGATCGTTCAATCTTCAACTCCATTGACAGTTTATATGAGAATATACATTATTATTATTATTATATATGACGGTATCATCTCGCGAAATTTGTCTTCTTAATGGCTTATTCAAATTTATATAGGGACTAATCGCTTTAATATATGACTGCGTTTTGCTGTCTGATTTCTCTACTCCAGAGGTGGGATGCAATACAGTGGGAAACTTGATCGTAGCTTGATTGACACTATCTTTTACCAGTTTCAGAATATCATCAAACCTTGGCTAGATACCCTCATCGTCTATACGAGAGCTTATCTTCACCCACTTCCTTTGCAGCCGAGTAGGTAGGCGTCTTGCTATTACCTCTAAGACTGAGCTTGAGTTCAGATCACTCATGCAATTCATCGAAATCAACGTATTCTTATAAGTCATCAGATTATCCAAGAACTCAGTAAGTGCCTTGGAGTCATCCTGTAGTTGACTACCGTTACCTTTGACAACCTCAAATACATCCCTTACATTCATCGAAGGTCTTCCTGACCTTTGACGCAGTATACTCATAGCCTCAGTATATCCTTCATTTGGGGACACAACCTTACAGCACTGTATAGCAATTGAAGCAACCCCAGTGCATTACCTCAAAAAATACATTGGCTTCATTTCGTCACTTATTGAAAACCCACTCGACATGACTTCAAACTCCTTTACAAACTGCAAATAGTTAGTTGGGTTTCAATCGAAACACCGAGGTTTATATTTAGGTATTTCTAAATTTCTATTATCCCTAGACGGCGAAACATGGACATCAATCTTATCATGCTTGATATCAGCCAACTCTCATAAACTGTCGATGTCCATCTCTTACTACGCTGGACATCGTGCTGTCCCCCGAAGTCTTTCAGAAACACTTTGTATTAACCAACGCGAAAACCAGAACACTGATTGGAGACTCAAGAATCCTTTATTCTTACTCCAACATGTAGCCAAAAATAAGATTATTACACAGGGTTTTTGATGGTTTTTTATCTTCCTCTGAACAGCGAACGTTGAGACGATGACTGCCGAAATGATGATACCTGAGAAAAATATGGAGGAGTTGGGTTTGAGCAAACAACCATCAATTGATCGTGCAGTCTTCAACCACATTGACAGACTTTGAGGGAGGGATTTTCGAAAAGTTAGCTTTGCTACTTGTAGGACGTAATTCGGTCTTATTGTTCCTAGCTGACGCGGAAACCATGCTCAGTATGATAACACAACTGTCATGCCGAAGTGTGCGAGTAAAACACATTTTACTTTCAGGGGTGGAAACGCCGACCTGGACCTCGGGTTAGGGAGATGACTTCCACTGATTTTCACCCTCTCTGACTTAGACCTACCAATCCTTGGCCTAGACTTCCTGGATATGACTTGCTAGCAAATACCCTGAAGAGGCGACGCCTGATGAAAGAAAACCCCAGGTGTAAAAATAGCAAGGCAAGCGATCGCCATTCATTTGATTTAAGTACAAAGATCAGTGCATCCTGCCAAGCAACGTTTCGTGCGTCTAACGTTACATACTCTATCACTTCAGACAAAACCCTTACTCAGGTATCTGGTAATCACTTTTCTGGTTTACCAAATCAATGTTGATTTCTTGTTACTAGCTAAATACGTATCCTTTAATGATAACTCACTTTCTTTCTCTCTGTTTTAAACTAGACTTTAGACACATGATTTTAGCTCACGGACACACATAATTTTTAAAATTTCATTCCCTCGCGTTCTCAATGGAACACACAGCCTCAATTTTGAACTTCAAAGTTTCAGCAGCAGCATCGCTGCTGCTTATGGAACCGAACACTTGACCACGTGTGGCATGGTTGGAGAGTGTTCTAGAAGTGAACCACCGAAGTACGAAGAAATAAGATTCATTCCACCCTAGCAAGTGCTAATGCTGTCAAAATGACCTCGAAGGTGAACCAAGAGGGCTCAAAAACTCTTCACGTCTTATAATTTAAAGGCACTTCTCAAGGAATATATATAGTAGCAGGGGATATCCCACGCTTAATTCATAAAAAACAATGCACAATAGCCCTACCCTAACCTGCGAACTTTCCAGTGAGTGGCTTGTGAATTTCAGTTTAGAAGCATACACTTAATGAAACTAAACCCTTTACCAGATCGTCGCTTGGGATCATATTGCTTGCCAGTCAGCTGACAGGATAAGCTGTTAAAAGCCTGAAGCCTTCTGCTGGCATGGGGCCGGATGACTTAGCTTCAACAGCCTGAAGAAACGGTGAGTGCGATATAAATGTCCTACTTCTTGGGTTATTCTTTATATCTACGGACATTCATATATACCCTAATGGGTGAAAACAGCTATATGAGTCTATTCAACAAACGCTAAAGCAAACAGTCGCGGTCACAGACTCGCAAAAACAGCCGTTGTCAATCTAGTTGAAGAAAGAAAGATCGATTCATGGTTGTTTACTCAAAACCAACTTCCCCAATTTTCGCGGAGGCATCAATACACCAGTCATCGTCTCATCGGTCGCTGTTCAGAAAGAAGTCAGGAGACAACCGTCAGAAGTGATATTGTGATTTATTATTGTAATATTTGTTCACAGACCTTAGTTGTAACAGTGTTTATATGTTGGTGTTACAATAAAGAATCCACGAGTCGCCAATTGGTGTTTTGGTTTTTGCGTCCGTTATTACTGAGCGTTTCTGAGAAACTTCAAGGAACAGCGTGAGGCCCAGCGTAGCAAGAGCTGGGTATTAACGGTTTACGAGACGTGGCTGACAGTTTCTGACGGCACGGCGTCAGTTTTCGACGGTTTCGGACAGTTGGTGACGGTTTGGATAGTCACCATTCATGCTTCCTGGTGCTGGCCAAGTCTTCTTTGAACAAGCAATATCTGAAACGTTTTTGGAACTGGGTCAAGTTCAACAATGCCTGGGTCAAAGAAGGGACAGAGCGTCTTGGATGCAAACAGGAAAGTAAGTCATGGTGACTTGTCTGTTACTTGTAACGATGTGTCTGATGTTAAACATGACATGGTTGATGTTGCTGTTTCGCCGTTCAGGGATAATAGGAACATCAAACTCCCTAAATTTGAACCACGATATTTCGATGGAAACCCGGCTGATTATTTACAATTTGTAAAGGAGTTTGAGATTATGCTGAGTAGTTGTTTATTAAGTGATGAATTGAAATTGATGTATTTGATGAGGTATCGCACTGGAGATGCTTCAAGAGCTATACAGTGTTGTAAGTTTATGAAGCCAAAAGAGGGCTACGATGAGGCTATGAGCATATTACGTCAAAGGTTTGGAAGACCTTCAATGATTCTAAGGAACGTATTCGAGGCTGTCAAAGGTAACGGTAGTCAACTACAGGATGACTCCAAGGCACTTACTGAGTTCTTGGATAATCTGATGACTTATAAGAATACGTTGATTTCGATGAATTGCATGAGTGATCTGAACTCAAGCTCAGTCTTAGAGGTAATAGCAAGACGTCTACCTACTCGGCTGCAAAGGAAGTGGGTGAAGATAAGCTCTCGTATAGACGATGAGGGTATCTAGCCAAGGTTTGATGATATTCTGAAACTGGTAAAAGATAGTGTCGATCAATCTATGAGCAAGTTCGCCAGTATATTGAATCTCACAACTGGAATAGAGCAGTCTGAGAGCAAAATGCAGTGATTGATGTCGAAAGGGTCACAGAGAGGTGGATATCGAGAAGGCTCCATGAAGTCTAGTAATGCATATAGACCTACTGAGTGTAACAGCTTTCGTGGTACATCCTCAACAGATAAGTTGCAAGATGCAAGACAAACACGGTTGTGTTTTACACGTTTGCAAGAGGTGCATACAAAGGTGAACTGTGAATCAGTGAGCAAGTTCACTGATAAGCTAAATGTGAAATCAAGGTCTGACTCCGAATTGTATGACGATAACGGTGTGGTGAATAAGCCTGTAGATGCGACTGGTTAGCCATTGTTGAATAGAATATCTCAGAAGAGAGTTACAGTCTCAGAGTGCAGTTCTGACTCCGCAAATTTACAAGGTACTACTAGTCAGAGTGAAGATAAAAAACCCTTAAGGATTTGTGAGGAGGAACCAAAATTGTCTACTTCTAATAATAATAATAATAATGTATATTCTCATATAAACATATAAATTTACATGAAAATGCATGCCATTTTTACAGGCACGATCAAGTATGATATAATATCAAATCGTAGATTGTCTACAAGTTAATAGTGTTTCAACAGTTAAATATTTGATATATATATATATATATAAATACATATTGTCTGAACTAGGTTGTATAGTTATTGAATTGTACAGCTGTCCTCCAGGATGAGCGGGAAAATGGACTTTGTTTCGTTTTCATCCCGTGGTTGTAGGCATACGATAACCAACCAATATTGAGGTAAGTACAACGTTTACAAGGGATTGATGGCTGTTTTTAGAAAAGTAAAAGTGCTGAGGTGAATCATTAAATTGTAATGAAATAGGTAAGTCTAAGTATCACTAATAAATGCATTAACAGAGGAAACTCCCTGGGCTGACAACGTTCATTTGCAATGTATAATGCTACACGTATATCTCGTACTATCATGGTGTCCACTTTTGGTTTTAATACATTTATCCTCAGTTGTGCCAGTTGTTTTTGTTTATTAAAGAGTTTGAAAATGATGAACTTGCCGGTAAGGTGAATATTTGTGATAATGATCATGATAGGGCACATTTCTCTTTGGTTGATCACGATCAGATGAGAGAAATGCCTACTACTGCTAAGTTGAAGAAAGGTTCTGATTAATCTTGGCGGTACGTTCGAAATTGGTGACATTTTTGCACGTGTTTGCTCTGAAATTTATTTACTGCTTATTGTCATATAATTCTTGAAATTATGGTCCAAATCTCTAAAAAACGTGTTCGTAGAAACACAATTGTTTTAGATAGTGGCTTAAATTCGGTTATAACTGCATTACCGCCTGGTAATACAGTATCAACTACTAGCTCTCAAAATGGTTTGAGTGCAGATCTCACTCCTGTGATACAGGTGAAAGATGTTCTGTTAGAGAACTCTGAGTTCTGTAAACTAAACCTCCTTTTGAAAGATATGCAGAGGCAAGTAAGTGAAATTCAGAAAAAATTAGATCAGTTTGATAGTATGTCACTGCCAATCTCAAATACCACGGAGAGCCGTTCTGATATTGGCCAGGTTAAGTGTTTACTGGATGTAACTCAAAATAAGCTTTTGAATTTAGACCCAATAGCCTGTCTTTTAGAAAGGCATCCTAAAATATCTCCAGACAACCTAAATAAAGCTGAAAATCTGATTGACTGCTTGGCTACGGAGGTGATGAAGCGTATAACCTCTTCTCACCAAGCTATAGTTTACAACGTCCCAGACTCTCTGCCCCTGAAAACTGTAAGACACAAAATCCTGATTTGTTGCGGCATGGCTAGTGTTCCATGTGAATGCAAACGACTTCGTAAAAAGTCTAACCAGGCTAATTGCCCAATCATTTTTAAATTCAGTAATTCCCTTGATGCTAGTAAGTTTACTAAATGTCAGGATCACTTAAGACTGAATAGCAGTTATAAGTCTATAACCGTAGCTCAGGATAAAACACCGTGTCAGCGCAGAATAATGCGTAGTAATAACCTGGTCACCTCCTCTAGCTCTAGCTTTGATTTACCAAATAAGGATCGTGCACAGCAACAGACACCTAGTGCTGAAACTAGCATTCAGCAAACTACACAACAACCACACCTGCCAATGGAACTAGGAACTGATTTAGATACCAGTACCCCTGTAAACAAAGCCTCATCGAAAGATGTTAAAATGACTAGAACTTCTGCAAGTTGTTCTAAGAAATTTCCCCCCAAACGTAGTAACCTCACCACGATGAACAAATTTCGCAGGGTTGAGACTAATGATGGGGAAGAATACTTTGTATTCAATAAGCCTGCTGAGAGTAAGAATGCCAACAAACCATCACTTGTTACGAAAAACTCCTCTCGAAACATAAGTACATCTGGAGGTGTTCCGCATGCTCCACCTTATAGAAAGTCAGGCTCCAAGACTCCTAAAGTCTTGCAGCCAAAGCACCTTCCTTCACAATTCCCTTTAAGTTATAAAAACAACCCGAAGGTGTATACCGGTATGACGAATAGCAGTTGGATGGGTAGACCTTCTGATGCTATGCCTTTTAACCGCCAACCTAGGCCCAACCTGTACTACCCTTATATCCAGGAACACATGGTAAATTTTCCAGGTGTCCTGAATCACTGGTACGACCCATGGCACCTAGGACCACCTCATTGCACACCAACTCCGATGTGCAGACACCCAGTCCGACCTCCTTTTCATTCATAAATTCTTGCGGTGCTGACGCACAAATAGATTTAGGTTATGGTGACATTTTAAGCCAGTTTGTAGTATCCCGTGACTTATTCACGATATTGCTAATTAATGCACGCTCCTTAATCAATAAGATATCTGAACTAAGGACATTATTATTAGTCGCCAAGCCTACTGTAGCTCTGATTACTGAGTCATGGTGCTCATCCTCAGTACTTGATGTGCATATAGGTATCGATGATTACACTGTACACCGTGCAAACAGAGATTGCAAGCGTGGTGGAGGATGTCTCATATATATACATAACTCATTTGTAGTCAGTAAGGTGGAAGATGAAACAATGAATAATGTACCTGACTCACTCTGGGTTGTCTTACATGGAGATAAGTACAAACTTCTCATAGGCTGTGTTTATCGAGCACCAAGCGCAACAAAAGAAACTGATGCGTTATTAGCTAAATCGTTTGCACATGCATCCTCGTTTAGTGCTAATTACAAAATAATTGCAGGGGACTTCAATCTTCCAGAAGTTAATTGGCTAACTAGTTCCGGCCCCCAACGCTTCGACGAATTACTTGCCACTATAGACTGTTATGGATGGCAACAACACGTCCAGACACCTACTCGTGGGGACAACATTTGGACCTTGTTTTTTGTCATGACACAATCCCAGTATCCACTTATGTTGGTAATAGATTTTCCAGTAGTGACCATAGAATGGTACTCTGCTCTCTGCCTTTCTCACCACTAAATACAGGAAACAAACAAGACTCAGGAAGCACAATATGTCGTAGTTACAAATATACAGACTGGGGATTAGTCCAAGAACTTATTCGACTCTGTCAATGGGATGACTATTTTACCACTGACTCCCTGGAGGCCTTAGTAACCCTGTTTTACAGGAATGTTACCCTTTGTCTAGATACAGTTGCCCCAAATAAAATAGTGAAATTAAGTAGACACCGAACTGAATATATTCCAAGGGCACACCGTAATAAGTTAAGGAAACTGAAGAAACAGTACTATTCCACTAAGGACATATCACTATTGCTCTCAATCCACGAGTCTCTTGAATCTATCAAGCGCCTACGTTCTCAAAAGGACCTCGACGAAGAGTTAACGGCACTTGAAAGTACCTCCAAAGTTTATAACTTAACGGCACTTCTTAAAAAACGAATGCAGTCAGCGAGGGAAATCCCATACTTACTTCACGACAAAGTAATCTACAATGAACCTGCCACTATCTGTGAACTTTCAGTGATTGGTTTGCAAACTTTAGTTTAGAAACACATATGCCTGGTGAAACCGCTCCCCTTACTATCTCTTCCCTTGAAAGCATTGTGTTCACTAATCAGTTAATAGTACAAGCAATTAAAAGCCTTAAACCTTCCACTAGTACGGGACCGGATGGCCTCGCTTCGATAATTTTCAAAAACAGTGGGTGTGATATACCCTGTTACTTCTTAAATTCTTCTCAATATCTATGGACACTGGCACTTACCCTAGTGAGTGGAAAACTAGCTTCATAATTCCACATTACAAATCTGGTGATAGGGCAAACGTCCGCAATTACAGACCCATAAATATAACCCCAGTTATCTCACGAATCATGGAGAAAGTTGTAAAGGATCAATTGTCAGACTACCTAATTAGGGAAGATCTTGTTACAAGGTCTCAACACGGATTTCTCAAAAATAGATCCTGCGTTACTTGCCACTTCGACTTTTTCAACTGCATCACTAGTAATCGCGAAGCACGTAAGCTAGTCGTTGTTCTATACTTCGATATATCTAGGGCATTTGACATGGTATCTCACAGTATTCTCTTTGAGAAGCTGTACTCTTGTGGAATTCGCAACCCATTACTGAACTGGTTAAAATCATTTCTAAGCAACAGGGTACAAATAACCAAAGTTGGATCTGTATTGTCTCACCCTAGGCAGATCTCAAGTGGGGTCGTGCAAGGTAGTGTCCTAGGTCCACTTTTATTCACAGTTTACATTAACAGCATTTGCAAGTGCTTCACCTCAGGTAAACCATTCCTATATGCTGACGACCTCAAAGTCGTCTACTCCTGCTACACTCATGAATTAAGCGATATGGTAGATAAAATACATCTTGAACTAAGTAGCCTTGCAACGTGGTGTGCTGAATCCTGCCTAAATTTTAACATTGACAAATGCGGCTGGATTTGTATCGGCAACAGTAAGCTTGATCTAAACCTTGAAATAAATGGGCGAAAACTAGCTAAGCTCAATTCAGTCGTAGATCTCGGTATTAGATACTCTAGTAACCTAACGTTCGCTGAACAGACTGATTATGCCAGACGTAAAACGCGTAGGCTGATAGGATGCATAACACGCAATTTCTTTTGTTGTGAAACTAGGGTTTTATTATACAAAGTATGTGTCCGACCTATCTTAGAATACTGCCCGTTTATTCTTAGCGGACTAAGACAAAATGACAAGCTTAAATTAGAGGGAGTGCAACGGCAGTTTACCTCAAGAACTCTTGGTTTAGAAAGTAGTCTGGAATACCATGAGAGATGCGTAAGACTAAGATTAGAACCCCTCTGGAAAAGACGCCTTAAGCTAAACCTAATCTTTTACTATAAGCTAACTAATCTTCTCTTGCATTCCTCCGAGCCAATAACTAAACCTACCGCTGTCGTCAGTTACAATCTTAGAAATCATCACAACCTAGCTGCTATAGAGCACTGTCAGACTTACGTGCGGTACAACTTCTTCTTAAATAAGTTTTCAGTCATTTGGAATAGACTACCAGCTAATGTGCGCGATGCAAACACACTTCCAGTGTTCATCTCCTCAGTCACCAGACTGCTCAAAGATGACAATGCACTTTTACGTCTGACTCTTACACCTCTTTTTCACCCTACATAGATATTTTAAGTTGTTTAAACGTGTAGTTACAGCAAACTACAATTATAAATTTTAATATTATTGGAACTAGATGATTAACATTTCTACACAGGACAGTAATATTAGTTCACACATAATATAAAAGTTAGCATAACGGGACTAGTTAGTTTGTGTACCAAAATAACCACAGTTACTAAACAGAATATATATGTATATATTTATTAATCACTCCTTAAGGACTCCCGTTGCTTTCTTTTGCGTTGCTGTTGTTTGTCTTCTTTTTTCTCTCACCATTTCAGCTTCCATTTGACTTTTTGAATGAGAATGAATAATGTGGATATTTGACCATTTACAATGACAAATGATCTGCAAACATTATTGGTCCCGTATCTTTCAGTTGCCTGGTTAATAACGAATTAACTTTCTCCACGACGCAACCTGGATTACATTTGTGGAATATACTCTTATACCAATGGAAAAGTATCAATTTGTAATACAACTTCACGATTGTAGCTTATAACATAACTGATCGTATCTGTAAAAATAGCTTCCTTATTACCCAATTTGGATATAAATCAAATCAAAAATGAGATTCGGATTTGTACACACCCAGGTTATATTGAGGAATTACTTCAAGCTTTATTTTTTCCCAAGTATTTTTAATCCATCCAAAACTTACTTGGGTTTTTTTGTTAATGCGAAGACAATATTCCTATATTTCATGATGTGCTCCATTGAATGACTTGTTATATTGTGGAATAACTTCAAGCTTTATTTTTTCCCAAGTATTTTTAATCCATCCAAAACTTACTTGGGTTTTTTTGTTAATGCGAAGTCAATATTCCTATATTTCATGATGTGCTCCATTGAATGACTGGTTATCATATTGTTCCCACAGACCTAAAAAAATGGCATGCATTTTCATGTAAATTTATATGTTTATATGAGAATATACATTATTATAATTATTATTAAAACAAAAACGCCAGCAACCATGTAACTTAACCATAAACCGAATTTATGAAATTTAATTAATGCTTATCCATGCCTGTATATTTGGTGTGTCCTACACAAGTAGGAAAAAATGTGTACTTTATTAAAACATTATTATTAATTATGATTGCTAATCGTATATGTAATTTATCATATTGATGATGCCTGTAAACTGGCGTCTCTCATGTACAAAATGAGAATATACTATTATTATTATTATTAACTTGAACGTGAAGTAGAATCAGAGGCAGATGCAGTTGCACAAGGTATGGATACTTGTGAGATCGTCAGTGTAATTGATCAGCATGTAGCCCACCTATCATCAGATGCTAGTACTAAAGCGGAGCTGATAGTAAAAGACAGCAGTGGTGGTAGTCTTGCAGTTAGATAACCTTCTAAAAGCCGAACAATAACAGCTTCTGATCCACCGCTAAGTTCATCAACTGGTATCAATCAGTCGTCGTTGGTGTTGTCATCCACGATGAGAAAGACACCTATCAACTCAAGTACCTAGTGCAATGACTTTGATAGTATTTGTGCACTTGAAGGGACGAAGGATATTGCTCAGTTTAGTGAGGATAAGCCAAGTGTGTACGAGAGGGTAATTGTTAAATTGACTTGCATGAATAAAGGCATTTCTAGTTTCAAGTTACTATTTGAATGCTATTATCTTTGGTGTAAATTACTCTGTGCCTGCACTTGGTTGATCAGATACGTCGAGTGTTTAATAGTCATCTATATTCCACGATACAATGACATGAGCGTGTTTCCGTTCAGATTTGAGAATATAGCTGATAGAAGGAAGTCAGCAAATGAACTCTGCAACGATTTTCCAACCAAGGGCGTCAACCTGAGAAGGGTTGTAGGCGTACTGCTGTAAGTCCTACAATTCTTCAAAGGGTAGCGCATCAATGAGCAGTCCAATGTGCTTGGTGTGTGATTTTGTACATATGTTCATATTGTATATACTGAATTGATATCATCTGTCATCTAGCTGTTGGTAATTCTGTTTGTGTCCGGACGACTTCCACTTGGATCATCAACCTGAGAAGGAATGTAGGCGTACTGCTGTAAGTCCTACAGTTCTTCAAGGGTAGTTTGTCGTGCCAGAATCCACCATTTTGATGTGTTGATTGTACATATGTTTGTGTTAAATAATTGTGTGAGTTCAAATTATTGTAATTGTTGGTCAATCTTGTTTGTGTCCGGACATTCCACAACTTACAATCGTCAACGTGAGAAGGGTTGCAGGCGTACTG